CCATATTCTGCTGATGTTCAGGTGTATATCAGTATGTAGTGTCTCTACTGTGACATGTCTCCATGCTTTAATGTTTAAAAAGCTCTTTATTTTTCTCATACTGCCTGTGCTGCAGCACCTCTTTTCACCCTCTGTCTGAAACCAGAGCCCAGTCTGCTCTGATTGGTTAGCTGGCCGGCTCTGTGATTGGTTAACTGCTTAGAGACGGCCCACCCCTTAGCCATATCACGTTCAATGTGTTGGAGCGCTTGCCAATACAAGCTCAAGTGTTCTATCGTGATGTCATCATGTTACGGAAGCACAAAAAGGAGGCCAATGCTGCAGAAGCACAAGAAAACTCAAGAACTATACAAACCACTACAGGAGAGAGAAAGCCCCAAAATGTATGATAATTCAAAAAGTTACATTTTTAGATAAAATAGAAAGAAATAAAGACTCGTAATTGATACTACAAGCTTGTTATGTTAAAATAAGAATTCTGTGACATTATCATGTTTTTGAAACACACATTTAGGTATACAGACAGTACATTTATTTCATGAATTGCTGCTGAAATAAATGTCATGTAAGTGTTTTTAAAAGATGTTCTGCTTTTAAAAAATAAATATCTCATCATTCCAAAATCAATGTTCCCAAAAACATTGTGACAATACCCCACTAAATGTCACTGTAAACCAGTGTTGGTATAGTATTGTAAATTATATTTGGGATAAACTAGATTTTATGGTTGAAGGTGTAAATGTGACCAAACACTGACATCAAAACATCTATTTATTATTTATAATAGCAACAAACACATTAATGAATTTATTCCCATCGGCTTCTCCAAAATAACTACAAAAACCTTTTTTTATTTGATATTAGTTTTATAACTGATCATTGTGTGTGAGGCTTTGATTAAGAAGTGTGTTTTTCTGTTTTTATTCCGATACATTTCCCAGATGTAATACATGTTTGTGGAGACGTTCTTTGTGCACCTTGTCGTTTTTTTAATAACTGCAAGAAGACTATTTAACATTTCTTAAACATCCGATTGTTTTGAAGCAAATATGAATTTACCCAAATGTAAAACTAATGTTATAATTCATTAATAGAAGCAAGCAAAATTCATCTTAATGTTAAAAATGTGTTAACTAAAAAACTATATATATATATATTCAGTATATTTATTAGAAAGGTTTGATGTTCACATTCCTCTAAATTAACTGTAAACTAAGATTATTTTATTTTTCAAAAATCTGATTTATTTTTTTTCAAGCAAAACAATAATTGTTCAACCAAAATGTCAAAAATATTCCTTTAAGATTGTGTTGGATCTACTTTGACAGTTCTTAAACCCCAAATGAAAACAAATAAGCACACAGCTCAAATTCCATACATTTCTCTTTATTATTATTATTATTATTATAGATATTATTCAAAATTATGTTCTTAATAAGATCAAAGAAAGCAACTGCAAATGCACAACACAAAGACGTCATTCAGCGTCCCTTAGTTTATATCAAAACTGATATGAACACGGAGAATGATTAGAGGCACCCGTTCAGAGACACTAAAGTGCAGCATCAGCAACTGGTCTGCATCATGTACACGAAGAAGAGGAGAAGTGAGAGGAAGAGGAGTGTGGAGGAAGAGGAGTGGGGAGGAAGAAGGAGGAAGAGGAGTGGGTAGGAAGAAGGAGGAAGTTTGAATAATGATCATGAACTCAAATCAAAGTCCTCTTAAAGATGTATATTCAGTAACTAGTGGCGACGTACAAAAACAGAGCCATCATCAGCATGGTGACTTTCAACTGTCGGCCATGTTGTCGCTTCACGTCCCATCGGAAAGTGGAACTTCACATGTTTCAACACGGAGTAACACTTAATTCTAAGATAAGTACATCCAAGTTTGTTTGAAGGTGTTGCTACCAAAGCATTACCTATTTGAATTATTCTAAAATATGTATCAGGTTTTTCTACAAAAGCTCTGGCGTGTTAAAAGTCTAAACAGCTGGATAAGTATAACGATGAACAAATACACTTGCAATACATGACATGTTTTAAATACGGTGAGATATACTCATTCAAATGTCCCACTGCTGACCAATGACATTCAGTTTCAGGTAACAAGATTTAAAAAGACATTTGCAGTTGTATGCATGGATCCATGTTAGCAGCGCGCGCAGGAAGTGTTGTCCATGTTTTCCCATGAGACGTGAATGCAGCAGCAACATAAAGACCGGACAGCACACAGGAGGAGAACTAGCTAAAAACACTGATGCATTCTGGGATCTTGATTGGTTCAGATTGACTGTAGAAAAATATACTGTAGGTCCAACTTCTGCTTTTGACATCATCTTTGAGAAAGAGAGAAACATGAGATTGAATATTTAAAAATCGAAACAAAACAATTTGGATCGATTGAGAGCTTAAAGGAAAGATAATTGCATGTTTTAAAGATTGAAGTTGAGAAACTCTTCCACATGAATCGGACAAAATTGTAACGTGATTGCGCTTCATCAAGCTACACAGACCATCATCTCCCTCAGGTGTTTCCACAACGACGTTTGATGCTGCATTCAGGTCATGTTGAATAAAAAACGCCAGCTATGATTTGACATCGAATGCAGGCCTAACATTTGTTATTTTTGTAACGTCTGTAACGGAGAACTGTGACGGAGACCCGTCAGAAACTAGGGGTTCCCGCACATCAGATAGAACTTTAAAAGCAGCTGTTTCTTTTACAATAATTTGGACTGTAGGAGGATGTGAGATGAATGGACAGAATTTCAGAAATGGATTGATCGCTTATCACATACAAAATAAGAACATTATATATCAGAGGTTCATGTGTTGCTGCTTATTCTCCATCAGTTTTTAAATGGTCCGTCTTCCTTTAAGGCAGCCGCTTGTTTCTGTTCATTTTGATGAAAATAGCAGAGACATAAAAAGACGAGAGATAAGCCATTGCACTCAATACTTATTAATATAAAATAAAATGTCTAAGTGTGTTTTAAAGCAATGCAATGACTTTTGAAAACCCTCCTTGTTGGTGCTTTCATGAACACAATTGCATGGTGCTGTATCTCAACTTGTTTTGAAATGGTTTTATTCTATGAAGAAATTGTTAAAATAAGTGTTAAAGGGGAATACACATCACTTTGTTGCATTTCTATCCATACACCATCTTCTAAATTGTTTTGGCTTCTTCACTCAGGTTTTTAAATGCACAATTTGAAAAACTCATAAAAACAGGTGGATAGAAGCACACATATTTAACCAATTTATAATAACAGGAAATATTTGAGTTCTCTCTCTCTGCAGGCCGACCATGTGACGTCAAACATGGTGATGTAATGAAGACGGGTGTGCAAAAAGGTAAAGTAACAGGTTACAAGACATCGATGTAGTCCTTTAAACATCACATCCATCACTGGACATGGTGACTGTCCCAGCATGCACTGGTGTGGAAGTTAAGTATTGGGGGATGGGGTGGGGGGGGGTCTTTTGGATCACGTCTAACCAGAGAGGGACACTATTGGCCGTTTGTTCTCTGATTCTAAGAGAGGGTGTTATTTTTGGGAAAGATATTTCTTAAAAACATCAGAAAAAAGTGACAAAAGAATAGAAACAGAAAACTCAACAAGAAAAGAAATGGCACTATTTGGTCAACAACCCCAAGAATGGAGTCGGGACTTTTTTGTTGTTTAAAAATCTGACTACAGACGAGAAAAACCGTGTTAGCTGCACAGGTCAAAGTCAGACAAAGAACATCAGTTCCTCGAGTTTCAGAGCCTGGAAATAACTGACAAGCGTAACACACTTCAAGTATTTAAACGCCAGAAGAACAGACGAGGAGAGGGCGATAGACCCGATAATAAAATGTGATCTGGTGAGATGAATGAAGCGCACTGAGCCGGGGGGTGTGATGGAGGGAACATCTGGATTTACTCATTTATGCTCTGGATTTAATACAAGTTTCCAACTTCAGTTTCTCACTAGACAGACTATAACAGATCTGAGACTCTACTGATATACTCCATATTTGTTCTGTTAAACACAACGTTGTTTTGTCTTTGAGATTCAATTGATTTAACAGCAGAGGTGGATAGAGGCTGTCTGAGCAGCAAGGGCGCAAAGAATAGAAAGGAAACCAGCTGCATGTGGTGGGGCATCAGCGTTCAGAAAAGCATGCGAGGCAGCGTTTCCTTAATGATATACTTTCCTAATGGGCATCAAGTTTTAGCTACCACAGGTGCAGAAAATACATCAGGTTCCAGAGAAATGTGCTAGAGACTCATTCCTATCATCCCAAGAGAGGAGGAGGCAAAGTAACATTAAATTCAGAGCATAAATCAATAAATGGTTCTCAGAAAGCCACCCCCCCCCTATATGACACCTCCCCAGCTCCGTACAAGCGCATCTAAAATCAACCGTCGTCTCATTTTCTAAATCATTTTTCTAGTTCTTCCTCAATATGAAAACCAACAGCAGTAGAGGATGATGTCACAGCTGTTCGGATCTTGCACATGCTCAGTGTGGTCGACAGTCCGTTGTCTTGGTGACTGTTTATCCACTGATATAACACCATCTCCCGTGTCATATCCCACAATGCCCAGCAGATCCGCCTTATCTCCCGTCGTGATGAAGTTTCAAGTTAAACAGTCGGTAGCTTCTTGTTGTCCCTCATTGCATGTGATGGGTGTTTGATCTGCTGACCTTTGCAGACCTGACGGGTGGAGATAGGTGCAGCAGATGCACACAGAGGCAATATGACTCTTAAAGTGAGATATTAGGCGGCAACCAGACTGAAAGCTTTAAAAATGTGAGTGATATGCATGGTGTGTTATACTTCAGCAAACTATATCCAAGGTTACATCTGTTCCCATGACTACCTCCATCACGGATCTCTACCGGATGGAGGATAAAGTCTAAAGATCCAAAACTAGTTCACTGACATGGAAGGACAAGCTATAGTCCTGGTGTTTGAGTGATTCAAATTCATAATAATAATAATTTGATCTTGACCAACATTGTCATCTTTCTCGGACTCATGTACTGTCGCCCAATCGAACATACAGGCTAAATGTAATGAATTCCGTTTTTGTTTTCATCAAAAAAGAAAATAGAACTGGAAGTAGCAGACTAAAACAACCAGTCCTTGGAGATTTCAAATGTTGAAGCTACATTTTAGACCAATCTGAATATAATTAAAATCAATTAGCGCAACATAAACATAAGGAAATAAATACCATGCATCATGTAAAGAAATGTTAACTTGTCAGTTTGATTGCCGCCTAACGTTCCTTGACGGGACAGTCTGTATCTGAAAAAATAAAAAAAATAAAAAAGTTTATTCTGAAGGGGGGGGGGGGCAGGTCTAGCAGACTGTGCTCAAGGCCGCTGCACCGTGATTGGCTGGACTGCTTGTCAGTCACATGCTGCTGTCCTGTAGGAGCGGCTCGATGTCCTCTGCGTCACTGGTGGGCGTGGCCAGAGGGCTGGCGCTCTGAGCGTGTGCGGTGGAGGCGCTGCTGGTCTTGCGGGTGGAGCAGGTCTTGGTGTCGACCAGTCGGTGGTCATCTGGGATGAAGAAGGCAACAATGAGAGCAAAAAACACGGCGCACGCTCCGAACAGGAAGGGAGGACCGGGGATCATGGCCTTCTGCAGACAGAGAGAGATAAATACATTACGGAGGAAATTCAAAAAGGGAAGGGCTGCTTTTGCGACTGCTAACCCTGCATGAAGGGGGAAATAAACCCCTGACTGTGCTTCCAAAAACTGAAAAGAAATCCAGTCCAAACCCTGGCCCCTGAGCATCTATCGTTTTTCCAACCCAGTTGAGATTTAACCACGCCCACTTACGTCTACTATAATTTGGGGAAAAAAACAATATGGGCTGTTAATCAGTGCAGCATCAGTCTTGGAGTTTATCACGAAATATGAATCTGAAGCTACAGTCGCTTCATAGAGCATCTTTTTCAAAGTAGATGACAATAATGCTTTTTCAATATGAACAAAAGTCACAGTTTCTTTGTCTTTCACACTGTGTGTGTTGTTTAAGAAAAAGGAAAATAAAGTTAAAAAAAAAGAAGGTCAAAGTTATGCATAGCTGGGTCAATGTAAATTAGAAAAATATAACTAATTCACCATGGATTAAAAAATAGTAGAAAGCAATATGCAGCTTTATAGTTGTTTTGTCACGATTTGTACATGAATACAGTATTTGAGTAAATGTACTTTGGTATCCTCCAAGACTTCCAGAGGATAACAAATATTCCTCTTGCTGCAGACCGCTGGAAGGTTTTCCCTTACTCTGACAGTTTAACAGCCCATATCGTTTTTCCCAAGCTAGAGAAGACGTGATATGACTTTAGCGTTGTTGACATGGGGACGGCGACGTTCTCTTTATACGTCCATGACGCAGTCACACAGAGCTACATTGATGTGGAAGTGGGCCTGGTTAAATCTGAACTGGGTTGGAAAAACGATAAGAATGTAATACGGGTAAGGTAGGGGCTGACTTCCTGTGTATGTGTCTGTACCTCTTTGTGCTGTGGGGGTCTTCCTGCCACGTGCGGGACATCATTCAGCTCCACGTTGAATAGGAAGAAGATGAAGCCGTAGAGAGCCGGTCCTAAGCCGTTACATAGACCTCTGATACCTGTGATCATCCCCTGGGCCACACCTGAAAAATCACAGACACACAATGAGGAAGGGTTCAAACATGCATCAACAAAGAAACTCAGAGAACACAGAGAAACGGACAAAAATAAATGTATCCATGTTCTCTACTTCAGGCAGACACACAGACACATAAATAGACAGGTAGATAGACAGGTGGACAGACAGGTGGACAGACAGGTGGACAGACAGGTGGACTGACAGGTGGACTGACCTTGCTGGTCAGGTGCTGCGCAGTGTGACACCAGAGCAGAGACTGCTGGGAAGGTAATGGAGGACATGGCTGCTACTGTTCCTGCTGCCCACATCATCCTGAAACACATAAGGGTAAACATGATCAAAAAGTGAATTGTGAGGGATTCCAACTGTAAACAAATTACATAATAATACAATATAAAGAATAATAATAATAATAATATATGATTCTATAATGATATAATTTTGAGATAACATGAAGTACAGTATGAAAACTGTAGGAAAAGAATATAAAAAGCTAGTAAAATATGATCTTCAAATTTTTCAGTCATTTTGCTTATCAAAAAAGTTGTTTATCTTAAAGCTAATTCTGTAATGGCATCACTGGCGTTACTGTATTAATAGAATGATAATGCTTCCTTCTTTCTTAATTTTTTTGCAATATTATTTAGTTTGTCAATGTGCTTATTTACTGATTGAGTTATATCTGAGTGTCTTGTACTGCGTTGTTTTTGCCTTACAGTGTAAGAAAAGGTTTTTAGAGAGTACTTGTCCATGGACAAGTGAGTTTGGCCATTTACTTGTCCGAATAAATGTTTCACTTGTCCATAGCTATACTTTGTGCATGCTGCACCTATTTTAAATATTATTAAATATCAACATAAAGCATACAAGAATCTGAGTTACTGTAACTAAGGTAACATTTTATTGTTTATTTGTTCATATTTGGCAAGAAACATGCTATGCAAGAATCTTCTTCTTCGGCATCGTATTTTACATTTTCCCACGGTTTGACGACACCGCTAACATAATTAAGATTTTACTGCATCACACATCGGTATGGGTACTACTACTTTTATCGATCCGGTCCTTTAACGGTACTCTCTCAAAAAAGGTTAATTAACTAAACAAATTGTAAATAATGTGAACATACAGAACTGTAAAAAACAAATAAAAAAACAAGTATTTACTGCAAAGATACAGTGGTACTGAGCAACACAGGTGGATACAGGTATTCTGCAAAAGGTTCAACGGTTCTTCTGGAGGAAGATTGAGGCTGTGGTGGAACACAACGCGTTGTTCAGACAAATTGCTCGTGTTACCGCCCTTAAATGCTAAACTCTTATCGCACTTTTGGCAACGAGCATTGTCCACATCGAAAGGGTAAAGTTTACCCACACCTTGGAGTGCTTAGTTCTCTCTGCCATCTCGTGTGTGTGTGTGTGTGTGTGTGTGTGTGTGTGTGTGTGTGTGTGTGTGTGTGTGTGTGTGTGTGTGTGTGTGTGTGTGTTGTGTGTGTGTGTGTGTGTGTGTCTCTCTGTCTGTGGGTGTGTGTGTGTGTGTGTGTGTGTGTGTGTGTGTGTGTGTGTGTGTGTGTGTGTGTGTGTGTGTGTGTGTGTGTTGCATGCATGCAGCAGCCGCGTGTGTGTAAATTGCCCGCCCCCTCGCACACAGACGGGGGAGAGAGATCTCTCGTCTGGATTGGGAAGATAATAAAGGTGGTGGCGTTGCCATTTATGTGAAAAGTAAGTTTTGTGTAACCAAGATGGTTTCCAAATCTATCAGTAAACAACTAGAATTTGTAGCCTTAAATATCGAAGTAGCAAAGGGTCAACAGGTCATGGTGGTGGGCTGTTACAGACCCCCCTCAGCTGTCAAGGACTCCTTGTCTTCGTTGGCAAATCTTTTATCTGAACTTGACTACAAGTTGGTGATTGGTGACTTGGTGATTTTAACTGGGACTGGTTAACTGCAGTATCAGAGGATTTTAAAAACCTTTGTATCTCTTGGATTGTTACTCAGATTGTTGACAGTCCTACTCGCCCTAACATTAAAGAGCCTGTGACACGAACCCAACAACTGTTGTGCAATGAAATAGTGGGCTACTAGTAATCTCGAACCGTCAGTTTAAAAAAGAAAAAGCGATACCGTTCCGATAAATANCTACGCCTATCAGCTGGAATTTGGGCATAAGATGCAGGTTTTGAAACGCCCGTCCCCCCCTGCGTGATCTGCGTGTAAAAAAAGGAGGGGCCAGCAGCCGATATCACTTAGCCTAGAATAAGCTAGATCTTGATGGATTTGGACATAAACAGGCCCTCGACAGTATAACCGCCTACGTGAGAAGAGAGATCAAGCACCTGACAGTCTCCGCTGTGAGGGACCGGTGAGTGGAGCAAAACACACCTTTAGACTAACACATTTAGTCTATGGCACTGTCGTATACTTGATTATTCCCCATTTCATAATATGTAATCAACTTAGGAGTCAAAAAAAAAAAAAATTCAATACTCATATTCCTCATATCTCCATCCTCAATATCCGAATACCTTGAATATATTTAAATATTCAATTAATCGTTCCCATACCTAAGGAACACACACATTCACTGTTATAGAGCATCCATTTCACCGCCACAGGAATTAATATAGCGCTTTTTTTAAAATAGAAAGAAGATCACAGTTATGCATAGCTTTGAGTAAATGTTATAAAAATTCCCCACCATGGAGCTTAAAAATAATGAACTACAAACCAATATGTAGCTTAATAGCTGGTATTTTTGTACAAGATTTGGTACATGAGTACAGTAATTTGAGTACAATGTACTTTGGTATCCTCAAGACTCCAGAGTATATACAAATATTCCTCTGCTGCAGACCGCCTGGAAGGTTTTCCTTACTGCTGACAGTTTAACCAGCCCATATGTTTTTCAAGCTAGAGCAAGCAAGCTGACTATGACTTTAGCGCGTTGTTGACATGGGACACGCGACGTTCTCTTTATACGTCCATGACGCAGTCACACAGAGCTACATTGATGTGGAAGTGGGCCTGGTTAAATCTGAACTGGGTTGGAAAAACGATAGACGCGACCAGAACCATGATGAACTATGATTGTCCACATCCACAGACAGATGGTGCAAGGTGAATTATTTGAGATCTCACCTGGATGAAGACGTCGCTCCGACAGAGGGACGAGGAGCCGTTACAGTACTCGGGAAGATCACACACATCTGTGCTGGACCGACACTCACTTCCACCAGGTAGATACTAAACACACGCACATTGTATTATTATATAGTATTAACCAAGGCTTTGAGGAGTCAAATGATGGTTGCAAAATGAATCTTAACTAAGGTTTGACAAGTAAAGTGACAAAAAAAGTGTCAACACTTAAAGTTGGAGCTATATATTGATTTATGTAATTTAATGGTAATTATTTATTTTCTTGTTGTTTTTATTTACATTAAATTCAATATGAATATTGTTGTTTTATTGTTTACATCAAATCTTTCAGGTTATCTTTAATAAATCTTTTGGAGATAATGATGCAAATGTACTGCAAGCTTCTCTAAAAAAATGATTGTATAAAATATTGTCAACAACGTATATCATATGTATTATTTAGTTGTGTTTGTTTGTTGTAGTTGGAGAATCTGGTGTGCAGGAGCAATTTCCTGTACTAAAACATTTTCAACACATTCCCATAAATATCATCTAACAATTACGAGTGAATTGCATTTCAGATTTGTGAGCCCACTGGTTGTGTACCTGACATTTGTAGCAGCACTCTCCGTACGCACACTGAGCTCCAGACTTCAGTTTACAGGTCTGATACTCACAGCAGGGGTCCTTCTCACACTCCTGTAATACACACACACACATTTTCTTATTATGCATTTGCACAGATGATTTATATTCAGTAATATATTTGTAACTTACACTAACTCTGGATATCATTATCTCTGATGTCAATCATGAATAAGGTCCATCTAGAAACCAGTCAAATGTGGAACTCTCAGAATGTTTATTTATTTTATATTTGTTATCCAAGTAAACCAGTTTCTGTACATCTACAGGCAAAATGCGGGCAAGAGCTGCTAATAGTTCATTCACCATAATAATGACGCTAAAACTTCATTCATAGAGGAGAACATTTGACTCAATGTCAATATGAATAGGCTTTAGTGGTTGGTAGGATCATGGTTTATTTGAATATGAACACCAGGGTACACTAGAACCAGTACATTATTTTTCACATTTGATCTATTAGTAAAATAGTACACACATGTCGGCTTATTGGGGCCAAGTAGGTAACAATGTTTGTTTTATTACAGAGCCATGGGAGGGAAGAAAAACGTCCAAGATTAAAGTCGTACATTTACGAGAAAACGGCATAGATCTAAGAAATTAAAGTTTGCGATTTACAAAAATAAATAGAAGGTTGGATCAATTGCTTTATGCCTGCAGGGGCAATGTTTATAATTGAGTTTTAAAATTGTGTTGATTTCATACCACACACATCTGGACTTTGAAAAGACATTCTTCAGAAGAAAACATCTTGAGGCGCATCTCACTTCGGTTAAATGGATTCCTTGCGTCCCTCACTTGTCGTCTCCCTGCGACTAGTCCCTCCCACCAGGGAAGCATGGAGAGACGCTAGGAATTGCTCTTAAAACTTTTATGAGTTTTAAGAGCAATGGGACGTTGTTTCCTCCTGAGCGTCACGTGAAGCGACGTCCATTTGTGATGAAGCTGCACAGCTGATCGTCTGACAGCAGCCAGATCATTGCATGCGCTGCATCGTCCAATCAGTGAGCGATACACAGTAAGGGGGCGGGGCGAGTGTCTGAGGATTTCACCGGAGGATGGTCTGGTGGTTCCTCCGTTGTCACTCCTCGCTCCTCGGTCCTCCGGCAAAAATAAGGCCACTGGGAC